TGTCTCTCCAAAGCCAAGACACGCATAAAATTAATGAGCCTTAGAGCCTGACGTAGGTTCTTATTATTGGAGAAATGACGAAACAGATTGTAAAGAATGGAAATAAAGCAACAACGAAAATGTAACAATTTTTCATCCGGATGGCGATGGCCGTACGCGTGCGTCATGGCTGGCTACATCTACTCGGAACATCTGGTTTCCGAGCGCCACGTACTATGGCAGAGCACTAAGCCGCTAACGTAATGAGTCTCGTATAGCACTGGAGTTCATAGTTCTACACTAGACGAATTTTTCTATCCATATCAAAAGCACGGTGCCCCAAACCTGGGCGAACTCTCTTTCCAAAGTTAAAACACTCACAAAAGTAATGAGGCTTCGAATGGCGCGTGAGCAATTGTACTTGGAAACAGAGTAACAATAAAAATATAGAGCTATTGCACATCCGGAGCGGGATGGCCCTACCCGTGCTCCGCAGGTGGCCCCGTGTACTCGGAACATGTGGTTTCCGGGCGACACGTGTACCGTTGGCGAGCACTACGCCGAAACGTAATACGCGTTTCCTGTAGCACAGATTGATTCTGTGCTGGCTTCCTTCGCTCGTCGACTTTTATACTGTCGTTGGAAGGTTCAGAACAAGTCCCATATTACTGCAGGCTCCCATTTAGTCTGGATTTTGGCAAATGCGATGTGCTGTTTCTTTATGAGCCACTAAACGACCCGCCATATACAAGGTAGGTATCGCACTACACGACTGAGAGGCCCTTTTTGTAATGTGCTTGTTTTTTTTTTGTGTAGAGTGAATGATCGGATAAGTGTTTTTTAGGCGCAAAACGTATATTAAAAAAGAAATATATTTACTACGAAAAAATAAATTTTCTCCGAGCAATATTTACATTGCTAGACGCAATTTAGTTGGGAGCCTGATGATTGACGTGTGAAAGGTTGGTGGTAATTTTGTACCTCCGTGCCGTATTAACTTTTTATTCAACAATATTTTTTATGTTTAAAACGCAAATGATCAGAATAGAGTCATTATTGTTTTGAAATGTATTCTGAGATTGCTCCTCCCAATTTGGTTTGAAACCAGAACAAACATAGCTGCCGGAGTCTGCGGAGGGCTGAACGAACGTAGCTCGTTGAGCGTGTCAATTTTTATGAGCGCGACTGGTTTTGAGTTTAACGAGGTTTTTAGAGGAAGATCTCATCAACTGACCTAGCTTGCAGAAAACAACGGTGGCATATACGCGCCTTTGGAAGCACTGTGGTGCGAATGCTTGTTTTTGTGGCGGTACTGGCCTACGCCTAGCGTCCCACATGAGGTACTGCGTGGGTAAAATGTATCAATGGCAGTTTGAAGGCAGCGCTTTAATCTGTTTCTTCACTTATCGCGCCGAGATTTACTACAGAGGTGCTCGAAGCTGATGCATTCATTAAGGGAGAGCATGAAACCTTAAGCCGTCCGAAGTCAAAAGAAACAAGATAAAAACTTTATGGAAAAATGATCCCTAAGCCTTTTGTTCAAAATCATCAGAAAATTATTGTGGGCTATTGTGGCGTTTACTACGATTGAAACATTCCTGAAATGATAAAAAAATAGAGCTGGCTTACCTATATATCCTCCTTCTATATAGAGGAAGTGGTCGCCTTTTTCGCAAATACGCATGTTACTAAGACTCCTCCGGGTTACTTCGAACAAAACTCTGGATGACTCGTAGTAACTGAGGAATTAAATAAAAAATGTAAAAATAATAATTCGCCGAGTTACGCCCGCACCCGCAGAAGGTAGCGTCATGCGGCTTCAACGGCAACTCAGCAACACATCGGTATTGAAACGCCTGTAGGAGGCTACATTCTAACAAGGATTAGTAGCGCCATGCGTATCGTGTTCGGGAGCGTCACTTAAAACTGCTTATCTATACAAGCAAGAGATGGCGCAAGTGTGCGTCGTCTGTTTCAGCTGAATGGTATTCGATACTTAGAACAATTATTTAGCTTTTAAGAAATATTAATCGTGGAACGTAATCTCAAATGGATTCAGAGAAAGTCTCATAACAAATTAACTTTAACAATATTTCTCGTTTCCTCTTAATTTCCTTTATCGCGCACAGAGTTAAGCTTCAAAATATAGCTCTATTGTGAAATTATTTTAGACGACTTTAAACACAGATACGAAGACATTAGAATTAACGAGTACCAGTCAGGTTCCGCTAGAACACAAGTAAAAGAATGTCAAACCAGCTAATAGAATGATATCCAAAAAAACAATATTAGAACTCCAAGGACGAACCAGAAATTTATGCATTTCTGGGCAGAATTTACGACTAAAGGGTTCGCGTTGCGGCTCTCATATTTTTATGCTGAGTTGCTAGGCTCATCAGAAATAAGCCCTAAAACTTTGTTGATCAGCCACCAAGCTACTCTGAGCTTTGACACTTCCAATTTGTATAAAAAAGACAGGTTTAAAAAATATTATTAAAAATATGTATGCACTAATTTGACGAAATACGTAAGTAGAAGAGCCATTTGTCCTTTATCTATATATAAATAAAATAAAAACGTGATCTGGTAGCATTAGAAATCTATGAACTTAGATGTCAGAGAGGCATGTCTCCGCAAATATTATAACCTCAGCATTTTCTATTTTCATTACGAGGTACGTTTGCGGAGATATCACATTTTGTCATAGGCTATTGAAGATGAATGGGCTTTTGATTTAGAACTAGAACAAATTGCGTTGCTCCCGCAGAGACGCGGAATTCGCACCGCGAACATGAGCCGAAGTACAGCCAGCACCGGCATTATTGTTGCGACCGTGGGACCGCAAACGTAACAGAGGAGGTGGCACGCAGACAAGGAAAAGACGGAGTATGGGAGTTGAAAATTATATGAGCAGAGAAAAATCCGACAGAGTGGGCCGAAAGAAGACTAGGGGTGTGGCAAAGCAAATTGCATTCCTTTTGTCGAGTAGAGGTGGTCTTCATCTAATGCCTTAACATTAGTGCCCTGGTGCATTCAAAGTTCCCAAACGTCGCAGCAAGATGGTGCCAAAGCCCCACGTAGCAACCGATGATCGGCGGAGGCATCCCCCTTCACCAATTTCGGCTCCGTGCAGTGGGGGACGGCGGGCGTATCACTGGGGTGCGTGTCAGCCCCCCCCCCCCCCCCCCCCCCTTTACAGCCGCTTCGCGGCGACAGTCTGAGGGTGGCTCATTACAAAATACTGCCACGCGCGACGGTGAGCCAGCGCGTACGTTGCCGAGAATAAAGAAAAAAATAAAGCGTATGTTGTCGCGTAGTTCCTGCGCTTGACTTTGATGCGGAGACCCAGGGTTCGATTCCTGCGAGTTACATGTCTTTTATTTATTTTTTCAGTTTATTGTTTTGGTGAATTCTAGATCATTGTTCTTTATTCTAGGTTCGAATGTTCTACGCGTCGAACCTTCTACGCCGATTGCTCCAGAAGTCCACGCGTGTACATAAGGGGCTGTGCGTGCCGAGCCGCAGTCAGTCTCGCCCCAGCGTCCGATTCTGCTGTTACGCCGACTTCGACCCCCGCCACGCTCTGCTGTTAACTCCTGTTCACGTTTTGTTTTGGGCACAAGTTCGCCCCATTAAACGTTTCAGTGTCCTCAGTCATTCTTTGATTCGTCACCTTTTCATTCGTGACAAAACTCATCCACCTTAGGCCACTCGTACACGCCGCCTCGCAGCGCCTCGCCGGCGGCGCAAGTACGCCATTGACCCGCTCTCCCCCAGTGCACTTCGGTTGCTAGGTGTTACGTCATGGGGCCGGCGTGGGGTTCCGCGCTTTCGACGACATCGGAAGCTCCTGCCGCCGACTTTGGAGACCACGTGGACGCACACGGGCTTTTGTTCCGCTCTTCAGTCTTCCACGCCGTTTTTGACGCGCAGTCGTCTTCCCATGTCACCGGGCCGTAAGCGCACGGTGTCGTCGCCCCTCTATGCACATCATGTATGCGCAACAACGAAATGTCTCTGTCGTTTCCGTGCATCACGCGCACGTCCTTGATGCACAAGCTAAGTTACCTGATCAGCTTGCGCCAGGGAGAAGAGGGATTTCGGGAATGTTTCTCGCGGAAAAGTGCTAAGAGGCTGCATTCCACATTCTTTCTTATATATAATTTCAGCGAGAAAACCCTAACGCATTTTGAAAATCAGCGTGGCGGCAGCAGCGAGTATGTCCCATTTAGTTTAACACCGCTATTATGCTCTATTGTGCGCACGTGGTGATTGTTTTATCAGCACAGCATAAGCAGTGACCGGTGTCAAAGTTTCCATGCACAGAAATGTATTGGCCGGACAACAGAAAAAGTCTGTCTCTGATGACGTTATCAATTTGAAAATATAATAATTTATCTTAATAAGTACAGCGTCGAATTATTAAATAATCACTATTAAAACAAAGTAAGTGGGAACATTGCCTCAGAAATTGTAATATGCCGAAATATTAACAAAGAGTTTACAAATTCGATGTTGCCGAGCTATATTAAACTTCGTGAAACTGGTTGCCTGAACCATAACAATTTGCAGGAGTGTAATTGCCATGGTTCTCTTTTGTAGACAAATTCGGATGCTAGTGTACTAATTAGAAGTAAAAGGCTACTTACAGTTTATGGACGAGCATTTTGCTGGCATCAACGGGCGTCTAATGTTAATGTTTAATTTTGCTTTCGGTCACTTCATTTATGACTCAAGCAATTGTTGCAAGAAAGGGAAGTGGTATCATTTTCTAGCGTTTGGTTCACGCCGACGCACAGACACGAATCTGCTCACGTAAAAAGATTCCCCCGTTCAAATCGGGAAGAACATTGCACTCAAACCGTGTTTCTTGCCAATTTGCCTTAATTACTTATTGCTCTTACCGAGTTATGACTAAGTCAAAACGTTTTTCATTTTATGCAATATTTTGATTTTTTCAGAGCCCAAACTAAAATTCCTGTCCTGAAGTCATCATTAGAATCTGGCGTCTGGGTCATCGCATGTCTTCAATGGCTGTTCCAGTGAGGATACCAAACGGACCCTTGTACATGGACATAGATGGCTTTCGTTTGAATTCTTTCTTCACCTCGGAGGTGTTCTATAAAGCGGTCAACTACAAACCGGTGCCAGACGATAAATTCGTCGCGTCTTTTCCGAAGACTGGTACCACCTGGATGCAGCAAATAGTATATCTCATTTTCCACAAAGGGGAGCCACCAAGTACCCCCCAGGAATTTCATAGTAACAGCCCTTTTATTGATTTGTGCGGTTTCGGCGACGCCAAAGAATATTTCAAGTCAAGATTGCTCAAAACGCATTTACCTTTCAATCTCGTACCGAAGAGTTCTGAGGCAAAGTACATCTACATGTGCAGAAACCCAAAAGATACCTGCGTTTCTTACTTTTACCACACACGTCGGTTTTCTTGTTACGATTTCCAGAACGGCAAGTTTGAAGTATTCTTCGACGTTTTCATGAATGGAGACACCGATTACGGTGACTACTTTGATCACGTGTTGTCCTGGTACGAGCACCGTAACGACGGAAACGTTCTATTCATCAACTATGAGGAGATGAAACATGACCCAAAGACATCTGTACTGAAGATTGCCGAATTCCTGAGCGAGGAACATTATCAGCTGCTTCTTCAGAATCAGAACATTCTTGAAAACGTCCTTCACTCTAGTGGGATACAGTTCATGAAGGAAGAAGCGAAGGAACTTTTCGAGAATTTATACGAAAAACCCTTGGATGAATCAACTCCGCCTTTCATCAGGAAGGGTATTGTTGGAGACTGGAGAGGCTACCTCAACGATGAGATGAACGCGAGGATGGAACAGAAAATGTTTGAGAAGCTTTCTGATACGGATTTGATTGATGTCTGGAAGAAGTATGGCAACGTGTATGACACCGCCAGTTAATCACTGTGAAGGTGTACATCCTTCACACATTTCGTGTGGAACGCTTTACGCGAAACATTTAATCAAAATAGCTCGGTAATTGAACTGGAGAAAGCAAGGGCTAATAAAAGATATTACTGTTCTGCATACGTTTGCTTAAATGTTCAAGTCTCGTTGTGTATCGCGTGCTTTATTTTGTATGTTGTGTTTTTGGTTTTATGTTGTATATAGCGTCGATCAGTGTGTTCAAGTTCAGACATAGCAATCACAGCAAAGTCATTGCTTTCGTTTGTTTCTGCCATACAAAACCTAAACTCTAATCAGGGTTCAATGGTCAGCTAACGCTCCAAGGACATTTCCAGTCGCTTTTACTTGCTCCTATCTACACCTCCTCCACGCCACTTGTCCGCCCGAAAAGATGTAAATCTCTTACATTGTCACAAGACAAGTTTTTTTTTGTTATACAAATATGCTGCCACGACAGTAGACGGGACTAAATTCAGTGGATCCTAAGAACGCGACTCCAGGCTCCCCTATACGGTAGCCATTTTGGTCCACGAAAGCAGCAGTTTCTCTTTTAGCTATCCATTCTTGGTAATTAAATTGAAATTCCCGCAGGCAGTTTCCTTTATAGAGGCACGCGTTGTACACTGAAATTTTGTTATTCGCACACTGGCGAAACAAGGGCGCATCCTCGCACCGCCACGAAAAGTGGCGTCAGTTCCTGGCAGCTTTAAGAAAAAAATTCTGTTTCAAAACACAGGAGGATAACAATATTATTGTAAAATATTTTTAAAGATAGGCATGACTGATAAGTGGATTGCATCCACATGCTGAAGCCGCTTATATTGACGAGGAACGCTTTCACTTCAATGACACTCCGCAGAGATGTTGGAGCGACAATCTCTCAACGACACTTTCGAAGATTGGAAGGTGTGAAAGGACCGAAATGGCGATTGGCATAGCAACAGAGACCCTGCGGTCAATCGCCTTCCGATGTTTTAGTCGTCTGTATGTTAGTATCTGTTTGTGCCCAGGTAGTAGACTGGAAAGACAATAGCTCTACTTTTCCGGTACCCAGTCACCTTAGACGAAGCCCTATCGCCACCTGACCTTTCTGTCTAGTGTACTAAGTTTGGAGCTAATTCAAAATGGCACCGTTTAGTCTTCTATTTGTATTCCCAAGCTAAGATAAGCTAACTGGGTTAGGGACACAGCTGGCTTAGAAGAGTTTTAGGCGGTGCTTCATAATAAGCCGTCCCACATTCTATTTTAGAGCCCTGAAATTAAGGCGCGCTCACACCAGCGATGTTCAGCAGTCGCGCGATGCGACTAGATGGCATCGCAAAAAAATCATATGGTCACACGGACGTGCTCGATGAGCGAGTCGTTTCTCAAGAACTCTCGCTCCGAACGCCGCTGATTGGCTTAGCCGCTCCGCAACTAGATCGCATCGCTTCAACGCCGGTGTGAACGCGCGTTTAAGCGCGATCCAAACCAACGCTTCTTTTTGCGCCTGTAGGTCGTGCGGCTGCGGATGTGACGTATTTTCGTGACGTCGCGCCGCTTCTTCGCTCCTTCCGGGCGCGCACAAGAAAGTTGGATAATTTCAACTTCTTCTCAACGCGCACAAAAACGCGCGGTGACGTAGTAGGGCGCTCCTGTGTCCCGGCCAATCGGTGGAGGGCGAGCTAGTTCCGGCTCCGCGTTTCTCACCGTCTGGCTGCCCTCTCCTCCCCCCCTTTTATTCTCTTCCAACATGACAACGCGATCTCTCTCTCTCTCTCTCTCTCTTTCTCTCGCCGTCTGGCCGGCCAGTCTGTCGCAGTTGCACTTTGCTTGTGCGCTCGTGCCTGCGTGCGCGCTCGCCCGAAGTTTCGCCCGTCCAAACCAAAGCGCACGGTTCTGACTCAGAAAGCGCGCCCGGAAACAGCAAAAACGCCACGAAATGCGTCACATCCGCAGCCGCACGACCTACAGGCGCAAAAAGGAGCGTTGGTTTGGATCGCGCTTTAGGCGCCCGTTTCCGCGTGTAGCGGCGTCGCCGTCGCCGTTGGCGTAACCGCGCGCGTTGAATTATGGAACGTCACAGGCCTTCACACCAATTCAACTCCCCGCAAAATTTAGCGAAGAAACTGAATAGGTGTGTAGGTCTGTGACGTCGCATATTGCAACCCTGCGCATTCAGTTTCCCCGCTAAATTTAGCGATACAACTGACGTCACGTGACCTCAAGGCGCAAACTTCAATACAGGCACTCGGGAATTGATCTATAAAACAAACGTCAGGTGAGTTATGGAATGCTCTTGTGTCGTCTGGGACCCGCCTACAGCATGTGACAAAATAAAACTAGAAGACTGCAGAACTTAGCCGCTCGGTTTGTTACCTGGAACTTGTGTCTCTCGATTATATAACTTGCACTGAGCGCGAACCTTCTACAGCGTGGATTTTGCACCACCAGATTTTATTTTCTCATCGAGAACAAATTGCAATGATCACCAGCATACAGTGCAATGATGTCACGTGCAAACGATGCTAAAACGAACAGTTTTCAGGGGAAATGCGATGTTCTCAACACTAGCCAGAAGGGATGTGCAAATTGTAAAGCTGTGCAATATTAATATATATAGCAATCTCGCGATGATATGTGGCAGCCTAAGATAATTTTAGAGCGCGCATGAGTGACAAAGCAAAGAGTACTAAAGTGAGAGCCCAAAAAGCAAAAGCACGTAAAACCAAATATACCATTACCTTCCGGCGTTTTTATCCTTGATAAAAACGCCGAAAAGTGACCGGCGTTTTTATGAGAGATTTTGGAAATCCTTAAATATTTTGTTTTCAATTTAAGTTTATCTAAATAACTATGGGTTCCTTACGTGTATTTAACTTCTCAAACTTATAGAACTCTGCTTTTTCCTCTTTTATATACTCAACAATAATTTTGTGTCTGTAAACTGAACCAAAACAAAGTATACAGGGCCGCGTGGCGAACTATGAAGATTCCGCACACGGGCCTTCAGAAAATGACGAGATAAGTAGCGGCCATGTCGAGTAGAGTATAAAATACTACTTTGTTCTATTGAACAGAAAATCCCGATTTAGCAAAGGTGATGCTTATTTGCAAATTGAATTGACCCGGCATCTTCTCCAGACCAAACCTCAAAGTCCAAGCTTTGCCTAAAATGTTCACTTGCATACACGCTTTTAGGCCCGATTTAATCAGATTACGAAAGTGCGTATATAGATTTGAGTGTAAAATTTCGCTCACCCTTCTCTGCATGATTCTTCGCCTGCATCACGGTGCTGAGTGTAAACGATGTTAGCCAGGAAAACAAGCCTGTGATTGCCGCTCGTAGTATCTATTCGCTCTTTCTGGCATGAGTTGAAAGGTAGAGGCGCCAGTGTGCAAATAGCTCCCAACCACTTCGGGTTCTGAACTAGACGGCGGGTTTCGCAGTACGTTCGGAATCAAATATACAAGCTATCTTCTCGAAATAACCATTTACAGCACCGTCAGACTTAATTCACATTTACGATGAAAAAATGATGAGTAGAAAATTTGGAAATACACGTGAACCGGAAGTGTGCCGGGGCTACCCAGAAGATGGCGCCACTGAGTTTGTAGCCCAGCAAAAAAGGGCGAAAGGACCTTTCCTTATACCTTTGTGGCATTTTTGAAAATACTGCTTTTAGCTCAGCAGCGTTCTCATCATATATATTGTGAAGGGCATTTATCAACACTTTTTCACGACCTATGTGGCTAGGAGGTGCCCGTTCCACGATTTCATGCAATGTAATTAATTTCTTAGGTCAAAAGCGCGACTAAGATTCAACTTCTAATACCGTGACGCAAAGTTCTACCAATCACGGCTCTTTTAAGTAACCTACCAGATTTATAACCCTGCGATTCACATAAAATATATGCTAATGATATAAACAAATATATATTGATTAGTATAAACACGACGTTTTGTATGTCAACATACTTTTCTTTGACTATTTCGTTGAAATTAAATAATGCAATTTCTTACTTTTGCTACATGAAAACAAAATGGACTGTACGAATGACAAAAAGGTATAGAGTTAGTCGTTTAACGCTTGAAGATGTGCCTATTGCCAAAACAACGCGAAAAATATATTCTCAATTTAGCGGTTCAAACCGGTGCGAGCCGGTGTGAACCGCTAAATTGAGAATATATTTTTCGCGTTGTTTTGGCAATAGGCACTATTCCAAGCGTCGAAGCGATTCGAACCGGTTCGAAGTGGTATGAACCGCTAAATTGAGAATATATTTTCCGCGTTTCTTTGGCAATAGGCACTATTTCAAGCGTCAAAACGGTTCGAACCGGTTTGATCCGCTAAATTGAGAATATTTCCTTGTTGTTTTGGCAATAGGCACTATTTCAAGCGTCGAAGAGGTTCGAACCGGTTCGAACTGGTTTGAACCGGTGTGAACCGCTATTTCAAGCCTCGAAGCGGTTCGAACCGGTTCGAACCGGTTTGAACCAGTTTGAACCGCTCAATTGAGAATATATTTTCCGCAGTTCTGGAAACTGTCTGGCCAGAAGTGTTGATTTTATTCAACAAATCTATTGCCAAACAACAACAGAAGTGTTGATTTTCAACACTTCTGGCCAGACAGTTTCCAGAACTGCGGAAAATATATTCAACAAATCTATTGCCAAACAACAACAGAAGTGTTGATTTTCAACACTTCTGGCCAGACAGTTTCCAGAACTGCGGAAAATATATTCAACAAATCTATTGCCAAACAACAACAGAAGTGTTGATTTTCAACACTTCTGGCCAGACAGTTTCCAGAACTGCAGAAAATATATTCAACAAATCTATTGCCAAACAACAACAGAAGTGTTGATTTTCAACACTTCTGGCCAGACAGTTTCCAGAACTGCGGAAAATATATTCAACAAATCTATTGCCAAACAACAACAGAAGTGTTGATTTTCAACACTTCTGGCCAGACAGTTTCCAGAACTGCGGAAAATATATTCAACAAATCTATTGCCAAACAACAACAGAAGTGTTGATTTTCAACACTTCTGTTGTTGTTTGGCAATAGATTTCAAGCGTCGAAGCGGTTCGAACCGGTTTGA